TCACCAGCGGGGGGCCGGAGGACAGACCAGACCGGGCACGAGCGCTTCATTGTAAGTTGTCGTGCCCGGTCAGCTGTTCTCATGACACGTCATGTCGGAGTTCCCGGTCAGCTGTCTATATAAGATACGTCACACCAGGAAGTCCGACAACTTCTGATGAAGGCTGAAGTGACAGCCCAAACTGTCAACGGGATAACTATATCGTTATCTCGGGAAAACGAATGGCGTTTAAAAAAATGTGCGGCCATGACTGCTCTCGGCTTCCATAGGAAACGTCTTCAAAGATCACAGTCAGTAAATGTTAGGACTTTATCTGGTCAGATATTTAGTCACTGTCATTCATGTACAATAGTTTATCTTTATTACTTCAGTAAACACATGGATGGACTAAACAGGCCCACTGGGCACAGAGTCAGGGGTCGATGAGGTCAGCGAGCTTCTTCGTTAGAACTCCTGTTTCAAGCATCTTGTCGCCAGTCAAACATTTACAATGAAGATGCATAACAAAGAACAAAGAGACAAAAATCACCACAAAGACACCGCAACAAAACGCAATAAGGGAAGGCAGAGATGTAATAATCGCAGGGATGCAAAAAAAAAAAGTCACAGGGCAATAAAAAGAAATGACTACAGACAAACACAGCATGATGTAAAGAACATCACTGACATCCAAAGTAACCACAAAGATTATGACAAGGAGATGCAACACGACAACAGAGATACAAAAAACGCACAGAGATACAATCACATGCAATACAACGATATGCAACGCAACCACAGAAATACAGCATAAAATGGGAGATGCTAAAAGAAACACATACACACAAATTCAACACAAAGAGAAACACACTTTGCAAAAAAATGCCAAAAAATCACAAAATACAAAATACCCATATAGAGATGCACAAGAACAAAATAAAGCAACGTTAGCGAGAGGCAAAAAGTAAATAAGAACCACAAATAGACACAAAACAACCACAACAAGGGGCAAAATAACCACAAAGAGAGATCGGTGACTATCAAGATACACAAATTACTGCAAAGCAAAGTGAAACAACTAGAGACAAAAATGACTACAAAGAAACCAAAACCATCACAAACAAATGGAGAACAATCACACACACAACACAACGACAACCGGGCACAAAATGATCTGCAGAATGGCTCCAAAGCAATCGCAAACAACTACAGAGTGACAGAAAATGAAAACAAAATCATGCAAAATGACCTGAAAGAGGCACAGACCGACTGTAACGCACATAAAACAACCACAACAGAACCGCCTCGTTGTACAGTAGCTCTGTTCTGGGGGTCGTGCTGCTCGGTGTCCCATTGTCACGTAATCCTTCGATGATTAAATATACTAGAAGTTCTTGCCAGTAAAACCTAAAATCCTCGGCCTCCGCGCGTGATTCAAAACAGTTGGCCGAACAAACATATCAGCCCTCCTATTCATCCAGCTCAAGTGCAAAAACAGATTAGTAAAAACCAATAGAGCAAATTGGGAGCTTATCCACAGATGACAAAAGAGGAGGACGGGGTTGTCAGGTTGGCAAAGTGTGTGTGGCGTCTAAAAATATTGTATATGTGAAGATCCTCTTACCTGTGTTTTCTTGCGTTGTCGCTAGCAGCCTGTGGGGCACTCGAGGCGAGACCTTCAGCCCCGCTCGTATCTGATAGAACCTGAGGTGGTGAATACAAACAGAACAGTCACAACTTTAACCTGCGTAAATAACTGTACATTAAATAACTGTATGTTCTCCAAATGGCGAGAAGATATCAAGAAAAAAAAATGGATAGAAAAACTAAAATGCCCTTTGCTGATGTTCACCATCCTGCCGACAACATGTGACGCTCAATTATCTTGGTGTGTTTTTTTATTTCTTACTTGGAAAAAATGTTCTCCTGATGTTTGAAAACAATATTTTTTAAATCCATACGCCAAATAGACTTTATTTGAATTCAGCACAGTCATTAGCGAGCAAGCTACCTCGCTGCTTGCTGGCTACATGATCAAATACACCGAAAATAAATAAATATTCGAATGTCAAAACCAATATTGCTCTGTAACAACGGTAATTTGTTTCTTCTCACTCTTAAACTTTTATAGTTGCACATCCCATTTCTATACAGGGACAGATATGACAACACAAACATGACTAAATAAAAAATAAGTAAAATACAAAAATGATTAACCTCACAAAAGGTTGCCAGATTTGTGGCTGTGGATCTCGTTTTTGTCTGTTATACATTCTAATTGAATATTCACTATTATATCTTGGATATCTAAAAAAAAAAAAAGCATTATGATAATCAAAATTCCAATGTGGCTACTAAAAAAATGTAATTCAACATATTTGCCATTAAAATTCTGCCTATTAAGCCATGACAATTTAGGATAAATGTCAATTTATAATGGCATTAACATTTCAAATCTAGCTGGGATATGCGTCACAGATATCTGCAAGTTATCCTCATCAAAAACAATATTTCTGCAACGTCATTCTTCCTCTCCACAACTGTACTGTCAGATATCCATATCAACATTCATCCAGGACAAATGACATCACTTATACTTTTCAAGTGTAAATAATTTCTCATTATTCTCATTAAAATGAATATGCAGACAATGTACAGTGCAGACATTTCCAGCTGAATTCTGACCAGTTGTGATTCCAAGTTTGGATGTCTGTAGCTTCATTTTGACTGGTCATAATTTTAACTCAATATATATATAGTTCCTCCTCTGGTCAAGATATCTACATTGTGCTTTTTTTTTAATGTCCTAAATTAATTTTGATATCTCAAACTGGAAATCTGCCTCGTCAAAATGTGATTAAAAATATGCTGAATTAAGAGTTTGGACTGGTGAAGTGACATCATGTGTAGTTATGTAACGAGCTCCGGCAGCTTGGAGGTGGAGGTGGTTTGCCATTCAAACATGGTACGGTACCGTAGCTACATAAACTATTCTAACCAACATGTCAGAGCAGCCGAAGTGCTTCTACATTTTGACCGCAACATTCTAATGAACAAAGCTCTTCCACCAACTCCTTGCTGATGAGCTCCTTCTGTTTTACAGCATTTTCTAGTGATCTCATCAACCAGAGCAGCCACCATTATTATTCCTGCTAACACTGTTTAGGCTGAACTGTTGCTGGATCAGCATCCAACAGGAAGACTCAGCATCCCGCATACGGGTCAGACGAGTCGTAGTGACGTTACTCTTATTTATAACATTGGCATTGACATTTTGACTCGTCAAAAATCCAATCTGAGTCAACTGTGGTGACAAATGAATGTTCTGACAAGACGTAATACCTGCTTCAGACATCTGCACTTGAGAGCAGTAATATGTCAATATGTGGTAGAGATAAAAAAAGAAAATGATTTCTTAAAGCATGCCAAAGAAAAATGTTTGAATTCTGATTAGTCAAAGTTATTGTAAGACATAACTTTAATTAAAAATGTAATTGAGATATCTGGAATTCACACTACCAAGAGGCAAAACTGAATTGTTGATATTTGTAATTAGTTTTCTCATACAAGTCAATGGACAATTCTCAGTAGTCAAAACGTACCTATAGAAATCTTTGATGGAAATTTTGGCGAGTCACTGTTTGGAAACAGCTATCTGAACAGTAAATCCAGCGGACTGTTTACATGTTGTAAAAAAAACCTTCCCATAGTGGTGTTACTTTTTGCCACCCCTCGTGTAGCCTAACTTCAAGCTAACTAATCGTGCTTATACTGTCTGTCCAAGTGCAACATGCGATGATCCGTATTAGCAGCGGCGAGACCATAGACTGTATAAAAGATGGACGTAGTAACCGGCCCTGAAAAATGAAGCCAACCCGGAAGTGTCAGAAACCTGCGTCCGCTAGCTGCTGGCTCCATAAAGCCCTGGCTCCCATAGAAATGAATTGGAAAAGAAGTGATCACAGATCATGAAATACTGCATTCCTACAGCTCAGGATTTTTAAAAAATTAGTTTTCATGGTCAAATCCAGAGATCAGGTGGCCAATCTGAAAATAAATCAATACTTAATTTTTACAAAATCGTCAACATTTTGCGGGACAAGGGGCGTGGCTGGCTTGATTGACAGTCGGCAGCGACCATACAGACGAAGCGAGCAGAAGGCGGTAAATGTGGGCGGGCAGAGAGGGCCCGCCTCTCAATCCGTCTGACCAATCGCTGCTCCTATGGCTCCGCCCCCCTCCGATGATTTTTGTGTCACTGGCTCCAAAAATCCAAGATGTCAACCAGGAAGTAGCAAAACCCTGGCTTCATTTTCTCAGTACAGAAACCAACGGGTGACGTCATGGTAGCTACGTCCATCTTTTATACAGTCTATGAGCGAGACGGACTAAAGGGCTTTTTCATGACTTGGATGAAAAGTTAACAATCATGTTAAACAAAATCAGCCATGAATGGTACAAATGTCGCTAAATTATTAAAGGAAGACGGGCAAATGGCTATTAATAATGCAAAAGACTTAATAATATGTCTCTACTCAGAGGCTGTAAAGTATACTATATATGGCATCAGGCGAGTACTGGTGCTAGAATACTGGCAGATTTCAATTAAGATGACGAGTCAGTTTTAAACAGGAAACTGAACTCTCTTACTGACTTAACTACAGATTATTTGCATGATATTCTAGATTATAGGTCACTTTCACGGTTCAGGTCAACCCGGCTTTGTTTACGAGCACATCTCGGCCCTCCGGGGAGACATTGGCAATCTGACAGACCGAAGCGTTGCCGTGAACACAATCAACACGTCGATGTGTTCGCGCCGGCACTTGTAGGAATCGAGGCCCAACAGAGAAGAGCACAGAATAAAAAAAAAAGGGATGTTTATGGAATGGAAGAAGTCAAATCAGTGCAATCACTGCCTCTTATGGCAGAGATTTATAGCATGTATGCACATGTTCACATTTCAATAAACTGCATCATTGTTTACTGTAACCATGAAGTACAAGAAGCTGTAATCTGAATATTTCTTACCATACAGCTACTAAAGGACACTGGAATCAATTTGCACATTTACACTGAACGGCAATTTCAAAATGCAGCTGGGTTCCTAATTTGAGCATCTGAAGCAATCTTGGACGGTGGCTCTTTCGGTGAAAACTAAACATTCTGTGCTTATCACCTTCTTTACAAATCAAATCAGTATTTTTAATGCAATCATTGTACGCCCGGGCCCGTAAGTGTACAGCTGCGTGGCCCATCGGTCCGCTACGAGGATTAGTATTGATTTCGGCAATTGCATTTCAGAGTGGCGAGATGCATGGATCTTGGTAACCAGAGCATTCTTATTCCACGGTGCTTCATCAGTACACTGGGATCCAATTCTGTTTAGTGGTCACATCAGATCTTTGCTGCTATCTGAAGCAACATGGCAAATGGTAAAAACAAACATATTAGTGCACTCAGCTGAAGGGATTACCAAGATAAAGCTTTAGTCCATCCCATTTAGAGAGGGAAAATCATTTTGATAAAGCTGGCGTTTCAGCAAGCCAGATGAGAGGTTTTAATCTTCCCGCAGATGCGTCACTGGAGGATGAACAGAACCCTTTTATATGTTGTCGAATATCACAGAAAACCCGCCCGGACACGTATAAAACATTAAAAGCATTAGCTCTTTCATTAGCAGGCCTTACTGATCTCCTTATCGGTATAGAAAGTAAACAGACTTTCATTTAAATGTTTTGTAATTTACAGTTTATGTTTGTATCCTGCCGTAGAAGTAGAGACAGAATGATGCCTCTATTTTCTGCCATTTGGGGTTAATAAATTCAGCCCTCATTGGCATTTGAAAGCTATAAAAAAGAAGGTAGATTTTGCACGAGATAGTTTTTTCTTAAGATTTCTATGCATTTTAAGTAGCATATATTTTTAGGTTTGAATAAAATGAATGCGTCTGTTTTGCGAAGTGTCTGTCTGCCTGTTGTTGATGCTAAAATCAATATGTTGAATTCATTTGCATTACATTTAAATATGATTTTACCAACTGCATGGACTCCACTACAGAGCAGACTTAGCAGCTACAAGCTAATTATAGCAGCTTCACTGTAATCGCTGTTTTTCTCCATCATTGCTGGATTTAC